TGCTGCCTCATTTCAAGACACATTTGGTGTCTTAAAAGCTAGCAGCAAGACACATGAACCATGTATCTTATAGCCCCACTTCAGTATTTGTTTATTTAGCCTAAGTCATGTAATAGCACATCATAGATTTTTCTCTTATTGCACAGACCCACTTCATATATTATTACGTTTACACACACGTGGCACTATTTTAACACAACACAAAAGAAGCCAATTTCTTTGATTACATTTAAGAAAAGCTTAAATACCATTACCTTTACTCCCTTCAGAGGAAATAGTGTTAAACCTGTTAAAGAGCAAAACATAGAGGCTGTTTACAAACTCAGCGGAGATGTAATGCTTTTGTTTTGTTTTTTTAAAAACTTCAACGGCCTAGAAATGCTTTCTGGGTTTTACCATTTCCTGCGGGATTACGTACCTGTGTGCAGCCATAGGAGTTGCTGCAGCTTCCTTGCCTTTGTACTGAAAGGAAACCACAGCGTAGGGGCACACGTGCCTGGGCCGCGCTTTGATCTCATCAAATGCAAACTCAAAAAAATATTGCTGCAACACACAAATGAAGATGGATTAAAACACAGCACTAGATCCCAACAACAACTGCGCAAGATTACACAGGAAGAACCCAGCTACCCACTACGAGCAAGCATTTGCTGAGAGTGGGGAGGAAGAACTTTCTTTTAACAGGAAGGGACCTTTTAGAGAACCTGGCTAACGCGCGACGGAACACCAGATTAAATAAACAGGGTAATAAAGAGGAACCAGCACTTACCTGCGTGAGCTCAAAAGCCCTGTAAGACAGCAGAGATGTAACCCTGTTGGCACTTTTGGACAAGTGACAGTCAAACTTGGGTGAAGATTCGATTGCATTCTTCGGCGTGTTCTCGTGGATGTGCTTTATTCGTCCCTGAGAGACAAAATGCAACTACTGACTCAAAGTCCAAATGGAAACAGAGAACTGTCAAAGCTCTAATGCAAAACACAGATAAGGTATTCATACCCTCATAACTTTAAAAATGATCATGTCTCCAAACGCGCCCACTTCAAAAGGATTGATTTGTAACAAATCGGAATATTTGGAGAGGTAAACACCTACAAGGATTACAAAAAACAAATTAAGGGAAAACATTTCTAATAGGCTACGTTTATGTCAATTACTTGCTGATGCTTGTTAATATTACTTAGAAACGATGTATCCGAAAACAAAGTATGTAATAAACATTGGACTAATATATTATTGCATATGTAAGAGCCATTACCTTAGACTTCAGAGGCAATTGTAAAATGCTTGTGAAACTTGTAGATAAGTAAAATAAAAAGGAATTCGACTAATTATTCTGCAAAGCCCATTTTCATATAACAGCAACATGGGAGCACCCGGCTTACCCACTGATGGATTTCCTAGTGTATTAATCTTACAGTGTCCAACTGATAAACCCTTCTCACAGATCCACTGGAGCTGGAAAACACAGAACAGGCAAAGCTCAAGCAAGTCAAAAACCTCTGCGCCTTCCCAATTTGTCAATATCCTTCTGCATATATGAGTGAGGTTTTGCCAGCAGGCCAACCTTGGATTTGTCTGGGAAAAGGAAGCAGTACGACTCAGCGAGTTCTTGTTCGGTCCGCCCCTCTTGCTTCATCTCTCTCCGCTTTTCTATGAACTGACGAAGAAAAGGCGAACAGACAGTAAATTAGACACGGGGGCAACCTCGCAATATTTAACATTTCTTCAGCACAGCTATTTAAATTGCCTGCCATTTTATCCAGAAACTTGACGACTGACCTCCTTCTCCAGCAGCTCATTGTGAATTAGCCTGGCCTTGCAGTAGGTGAAGGTTCCTCGCGATGATGCGTCCAGGTAAAACGAGGAGATGATCTTCACGAGGTCCTCAAACTCCCGGCTCTCGGGGGGGAGAAACTGGTACAAGCCTGCACACAGAAGCGAATCAGCGGATTAGCATTTCCCATCTGCAGTTTGCAGGACTGAGCGAATGAGCAGAGGACGATCCCTTCGAAAAGTCACATTTTAAACTCAAATTTAACCTGCAGGAGGCAGCCACATCAAACTGATAACCAACCATTTCCCTCGATTAAAAGACAACCTCGCCGTAAGACTTTAAGTCTAAAGCGTACGGTTCCTTCTTAGGCTTTAGCTGAATATGAATGTCACGTGTTATCATTTGAAATATTAAATATACAAAATAACCATGGGCATTCGATGGTGCACGTAACACCAGTGACCAGTGCTTTTTTTTTTTTTTTACAATCCTGGCAGCTACACTGACACAGTGGATGAAGTCTAGTACCTGCATTTATTTACATAAGGTTTATCAAGTAATCCAAACTCATGCAAAGAAGTGAAACCATGACTAGCAGACAACCTGAATGAAATGTCAACATCCTCAAGCCTGTGTGATAAGAGTAAACCTCTCCACTGTAAGTCAAAATGACAAAAAGGCTGGAGACGGGGTACTGGGGCAGCCCAGTGTACCTCATTGCTGTTAGGAAACTAACACACTTTATAAATTACTTATGCAACCTATAGTGCTAGAATAATTCCACTTCAACAGGACTTTGCATATATCCAAATAACAGATGCTCCACAGCATAGTTGTGGAAAATGTAACCAACAGTGCCCATCCACCTTTCTGCAAGAAGGAAGGGGAAGGGCGGGTGTAACGTAGGTAGGTGGATGCACAGAGTAATGCTCTCAGGGGTACTCAGGTGAAGTGCAAAACTGATGCTCTGAAATGCCAGCGACATCAAGCTGGGTTAAGGGGTGGGCAGCCCCACCAAATGAACCATGGTGCTATGAAAACACTCCGGGATGGACGTGTGGGGTGGATAAATCCGTGCCCTTCACTGAGGTCAAAGAGACACCCACATGTTGTTAGGTGATGACTGCAAACCACTCATGACTCCTGCTGTATTACTCAACAGTACTACGGTGCCGGGTAGGGATGAGGAAACGGAACAAGGTGTGCTTTCAGATGGCCAGTCTTTCAAAGTGGCGCCTTCGCTGCACCGTTGCTGCCCGCTGGTTAACTTGGACTACCACAGCTAGCGGCATGCCTGCAAACAGACGCTACGCCAACCGACATTATTCGCCTGCTCAAACTGCAGCATGGTAATCTAGCCCGAAACCGAAATGTTCGCAAACCTTTAGCTAAACCAATATAACTGGCGAAAGCAGGTAGCTAGCTAGCAGGCTAGCAACATGCAGCAGCAGAATCATGAAAGACAGGACAGGCTCTGTTCAAAATAGCTGCGATATGGCACCACCTTTCCGTTCGCGAATCTTCCTCGGGATTTGGAAATTTCTCCGTGGCAGCTCATCGGTCGATCTCTGGGCAGGCAGAGGAGAACTGCTGAAGCTCCGAGCGTCCGCCTGCATGCTCCTCCGCCGCTCAGGGGCTTCTTGTTCGGGCATTACACTGTCTCCACATCCAGGCTGATCGCCATTTTGGTTGGCTGTGGCCGAGGTGGCGGCTGAATTCTTCTGGGGTTCGCCACCTTTCGGGTGGAGATCCGTCGTCTCGGTATAGTCTGAGTCCCTTTTTCCCACCGCGCTGGGGTTCAGGGCCATTTTCGGGCACCGTGCACGTATTAAAGACAATGTAGCTCTGACGATTACGGCGCCGCTGTACACACACACTCTCCTCCTCACCCAGCCTCCGCCATTGTGAAAATGACGTACACGGTCTTCTCCACCACTGCAAAACGCTGCCGTCACTGTTTACATACGAGGGAATCCGCGCCACCCAGCGACCGATAGGCGTACTGCAACACATGACGCGGTGACCGTCCGTCTGATTGGCTGTGTGTGGAGGGAACAGGATGGCAAAAGTGAAACTATTTCTCACATTAAATAAAAGAGAAAAAGAAAGAGGATGTGAAACACCGCTTTGGAGCTGTGAAAGCCCTGACAGTGTGACTTATGCAAACCGATTCTTTTCTTTTTTCTTTTCTTTTTTTTAGTACTGGCTCTGCTATGTATTTTCGGGCACCGCGCACGTATTAAAGACGTATTAAAGACTACAGCCTGTACATACTTATAGTTATAGAATATTCACAACATACTTCATACCGTGTGCATTATAACATACCATAATAGACCCATTTCTGTAATATACTTACATATCTATGTTATTGCTAATATATATTGTAATATATCTATATCACTAAAGCACTTCTGGATGGATGCAAACTGCATTTCGTTGCCCTGTACCTGTGCATGTGCAATGACAATAAAGTTGAATTCTATTCTAATTCTATTCTATTCTATGTATTAAAAATGTATTAAAATCTTGTGTAGAACTAAATACAGAGCAATCACGCTTGTAATACCCCATTCTACCACTAGATGGTAGCAGAGAGGCTGTGATTTTCATATGTGTATCGGTAATACACTTGCCTTCATACATGACTCAATAAACGTAAACCTCTACAGTAAGTAAAATCGATATTTAAAGGGTATTATTATTATTATTATTTTGCTGCTCCTTTTTGGAGTCGCCATAGTGGATCACACCAACCCTCTGCTTGTCCTCTTTCACTGCATCCATGACCTTTCTCTGCAGTCTTCCTCTTTGACTTCTGGCTGGATGCTAACATATTCAGATTTCTTTGTCCAGTGTATCCACTATCCTTCCTCTGCACATGTACAAACAATGTCAGCCTTTGAAAATTTGTCTCCAAACCACTCGACCTGAGCTGTCCCTCTGATATACTAATTCCTAATCTTGTACTAATCCTGGTCATTCCCATCAAAAATTTTAGACTGCCACCTCCATTTGGCCCGTGTTTTTGTCACTGTCTCCACCATTTATCTTGCACTCTTGCTGCTATCCTTCTGTCACAAATCAGCCCTGACACTCATCTCCACCCTACCTACACTTCTCTTTTGTGCTCTGTCTGTTGCTTTGGATGGTTGAACTCATCTAACCTTCACTACCTCTACTTCTGGCATCTTCATCATTTCACCTATCTCCCTCTCATGTAGACGCATGTACTCCGTCTTGCTTCTACCGACTTTCATTCATCCTCTGTCCAGCGCATATTCCACCTCTGCAGGTTCTCTTCCACCAGCTCCCTCTTCTCACTGCAGATCACCACGTCATCTGCAAACAAACTGTTACCCACCAATGTCCCGCTGCGCTCATATATATGTCTCTGATAGATATTTAAAAGGTGAGTACAATTTATGTTCACATTTTTTGACTGTATAAGTAATGTAATTTTAATCACACATAATAATAATAAAGCAGGAAGCTTTCTATAAAAGAGTGACATCTTTGATATCTATAAATATGTTTTCATCAGGGGATAATCATACTGCCCCTGCTGTAAATGTCAAACTCCTTGTAACGCAGATAATCTTTCAGCCTGGGAGGAAGAGGAAGGAAGTTGATAAAAGCTGGTGCTCTCAAACGCAGGCGTCTAAGGTGCTCCCTTATCCGCAGGCGACACAGGTGCTTCAGGCTCCGCACATTTCCTGTCAGACAAAAAAAGTCAGCAACTACAGATGAAGCGCACATTTTTGCTGACAACAGGTAGTGAGCAGTTCATACTTTGAATGTGGCAGATTTCTGGCCACTGTTTCTGCTCCTGCAGTGTGTCCTTTAGTTTGGTGCAGAAGGAGACGTGGTCAGTGTAGTCAAGCATGATGCGCACCACCTGGGCAGATAAGTGCTTCAGCCAGGATACTGTTATCACCTCACAGAACTAGAAAGGAAAGAGAGATGTGACAGTCAATCTGAAACTTTGTAGAATAGCATTACTCCATTGCACTTCACATGTTCCACTCTTTATCATTTTTTTTAGCATAAACTTGGCCTCACCACCATGTCTTTAATGACTGACGTCGTCCAAGCAGTGTAATCATGGGAACTGTCACCATATGGACAGTCAAAGCAGCGCTTCACGTCATAACCATGGTTCAGGATCATTCTCAGCATAACCTCATCTTTTAAGGCATACTGCAGCGCTGAGGGGAAATGAGTGGTGTTGACACGGGAGTAGTAGTTGACATTTGCCCCATACTTCAGCAAGATGTTGATCAGTTCATAATTGCCCTGTCTCAGAGCCACCTGTAGACAGTTGATGGGATCCTGGTTCACGAGAGCCCCGGCCTCTAACAGTAAGCGGGTGCACTGGAGGTCATTGTTGGACACAGCAAAAAAGAGGGCAGACTTGCGGTCATCATCATAGTTGCGGCGGATCCTTGGGTGCAGCATGAAGTTTGGATCGTAGCCAGCTTTGAGCAGTATCTCCACACACTGGGCGTGTCCCCCAGCAGCTGCAGAATGGAGAGGACTCATCCCACTTTCCTTTACAGCATGCAGCTTCGTCACTGGGATGAGATGTTCCAGTGCTCTGTAAAAAAAACAACCCAAAAAAAATCTTTATGTGAGAACATGATATTGGTTGAAAGCCTATTTAAAAATTCAGGAAAAAAAGTATAGATAATGCTCACAGTCTGTGTCCATGGTATGCCACTCGATGAATTGGCAGGTGCCCACTATAAAGGGTTACGTTTGGATCTGCACCGTGTTCCAGCAGCAAGGAGATTATGTCAGGATTTCCTGATGCCGCTGCATCAAACAAAATCGTACCTGACTCCGACTCACACCACACCTGTGCACCTAAAAAATGAATTAAAGCACTATGAGAACACGCATTTACTTATATACATATGTAAAAGCAAAAGGAGATTGAATCACTACATTTACCTTTCTGTAACAGAACCTCCACCACATTTAGATGTCCATTCTGTGCAGCCAGAGCCAGTGGAGTTTTCTTTTTAACGTCACATGCATTTGGATTAGCACCAGACTCTAAGAGCAGATACACAAAATTCTCCAAGCCTAAAAACGCGGACTCATGTAGAGCTGTCCTGTCCAGTGGTCCGGTTTGGTCTATTTTGGCATTGTAACGAAGCAACAGCGTGGCCAAATCATACTGATCATTTAGAAGAGCTGTGAGCAAAAGGAGCAGGAGAGAAAAGGATGAGAAAGTGTCACACATGTTGAGGTATCTCTAAAATAAAATGTGTTTGAAGTTAGACGAACATAGCGCGAGATACCTGCCACTAATGGAGAATCCTGCTCGTCATTCTGGAGATCTGGGTTGCTACCATTCTGTAACAGGAATGTAGCATTCTCTCTGAGCCCGTGGACCACAGCTAAAAACAGTGGCGTCTCACCCTTCAGAGTGCGACACTGGGCTGCACCCGGGGGTGATGCTGGAACCCAAACACCCAGGAACCGATCAACACCTCAGGGTTGAAATGAACAAGCCTGTGCCAGTCAAAAGTTACAGCTACATTTACCTGAAAAGATAATCTCTAGCACCTTCTTATTCTGCTGTGCCGCAGCCTCGTGCAGCGGGATCCATCCTCGTGTATCAACTCTGGACAGAGTCTCCGGTTGGGCTGCAAGTCTGTTCAGGGCATTCTCATCACCTGAATATGAAGACGGGACGTATCAGATCTTTGAGAAAGATTCAGAATTGTCTGAATCAGCACTGAGGTTAAAGGTCATCAGCTTACCCTCCTTAATTGCTTTGAAAATCTCATCAGGGTCTTCACAAGGTTTCAGATCACTATTTAAAGTTATTGCACAGAATAAGGATTCACTTAAACAAACAAGACATTCATAATATAGATACTTATATGTGAATGCTGGGTGAGTAGATAGAAACCTTGGATTTAATCCTTTTAGCTTTCTATACTGAATTAGACTTTGTTCAATAATATATTGCGTTGCCTCATCTTCGTCCAAGTCTTCCTCTGATTGATAAAAGTCATCTTCTGTTTCCATGCTCATCTGACAAGTGTAAAAAGAGCCAGTGCAGAAGGGGTTACTCTGAGGAGGCACAGCTATAAGGGAAACAAGAGCATTAAATCACACACTACTCACAGTCCTGAATAACAACTGCAACACAGTGCAGCTAAGCAGGAAATGTGGCAGTCAGTCTCATTGTTTTTACTTTACTGACACCATAATACATGCAGGATATTGGATCTAATGACTTTAATTGGACTTATTGTCCCAATTTTCAGTCTAATAACTCTCAATGTCAAAAGCAAATCTCCAGTTGAGAAGCTGCAGGGTTTTTTTTTTTCTTTCAGCATCGGCAAAACAAACAAATGGAGATTCACAAATGACTCCAGTGGACATTTCTTAAAAAGAACATATAAAGCAGCAGAGGAAATGCTGTTACGAGAGCAGAGACTGCAACACGACACAAAGTTATAGCATGGAAATTCAAATGCCACATGTATTGCAACAGTTTGTATAATATGACAGCGTGGCATTCAAGCTCCACACTAATCAAGTTTTTAACCAAATAAAAATGTTTTTCATCGCGTGGTGTTTACCTTCAGTCAAAAAGCTGCTCTCTGTGTAGTTTTAACACCAGTATAGCCAGGGGGCTCTTTAGCAGCCACACATACTGGGGCTATTTATATCCTGCCCTCTCTCTCTCTCTCTCTCTCTCTCTCTCTCTCACACACACACACACACACACACACACACACACACACACACACACAC